GAGGGGACTGGAGCATCTCTCCTGTGGAGAAAGACTGAGAGCTGGGCCTGTTGAGCCTGGAGAAGAGAAGACTGAGAGGCGATCTGATCAATGCGTATAAATATCTGAAGGAAGGGTGTTAAGAGGATGAGGCCAGACTCTTTTTCCGTGGTGCCCAGTGACAGGACAAGAAGCAACGGGCAGAAATTGAACCACAGGAAGTTCCATCTGAACCTGAGGAAAAGCTTCTTTCCTGTGAGGGTGACAGAGCACTGGAACAGGTTGCCCAGAGAGGTGGTGGAATCTCCTTCCCTGGAGATATTCAAAACCCGCCTGGACGCGATCCTGGGCAATGTGCTCTAGAGGACCCTGCTTGAGCAGGGGGGATTGGACTAAAGGATCTCCAGAGGTCCCTTCTAACCTCGGCCCTTCTGTGATTCTGTGAAAGGGATTCCCCTAGCCAACAAAATCACAAACCTTCCATACCTGCTGTGATGGACTCAAGTCTGGTGGGTCCTACACTCCACCCAGTGACTCAAGTGAAAATAGCAGGGTTGTGAAAATTTGTTATTGTTTTTGTTGTTGTTATAAACTGTGTTCTTTAATTGCTCTTGCTGCTTTCACAAAACAAAGTGCAAACAGTTGTTTCTGAGGTGAGCTCAGGACATGCAAGCCAAGGCATGGCCATCAAGATAATTCATCTGCCGCTGCTGCAATTGCGTGACAAACAGCATTCCTTCAGCGCACTATGCACCTGCCTGGGGAGGGAGGACTGTGAAATCCCTCATCCCCCCCCTCCCCCCAAAAGGGACATAGGCTCTGCTTGGTGATTTCCCCGTCACCTCATTCAAGTGCATGGCGAGCCCTGGACAGCGCAGAGGAGCACAGCGCTGGCTGTAGGCCAGGCGACTTACAGGGCAGGTTGATCAGCTCCAGGTGGTAGGCCAGCGTCAAAGCTTTGGGGTCTGAGACTCGCAGGCAGTTGGCCAGGACTGTTGTGTTGTCTGTGGGGCAGCCCACATTCTGTGCAATCTGTAGGAGGAGAGAGAAAGAAACTTCCCAGCATTATCCTCTGAAGCCAAGGACAGCACTGGATTCAAATAGGGAGAGAGGAGGGTGGTTTTAATTTCTAAGACCTGTGTTTGCAAAGCTCTGCTTGGAAGCCTAGCTCCTGTCTCTGAAATTCTAACAAGGGACTAGACAAGAGCTTTATTTTATTTTATTTTTTGTCTTCAAGCAAGGCTTTAACTTCAGGAGAGGTGCAGCTCAGTGCCTGAGGATGGCACAGCCCCTGCTGGGTTGCTAGCCAGCCCGTATCCCAGCCACCCTCCGCAGGTTGTGGCCCCATTGCTGAGCTGTGTTACCTTTTGAGCCCAGGCGAGAGGGTTTTTCTGGATGGCCCAGCTGCAGAGACCAACTCCGCTCTGACTGATGGCTCTTTTGAACAGGCCCTTGTTGTGTGGGGACAGCGTCTGTGGCACAAAAGAGAAACAGGAGGATCTTCTGGTACCAAGTCCTGCAGAGAGCCTTGCCTGTCACAGGGATCGGCTGAGTCTGACAAGGGGAGGCCCAGGGAAGAGGCCAGCTCTTTCATTATTTAAGCATCTCAGCAACCCTCTGCCACAGATCTCCCAGATCTTGCAGTCAAAGTTAAAAGACGTGGCAAGGTGACGAGCGGAGAAAAGGAGCAAAAGAGAGGGACGTGGCAAGTAAATGCTACTTCACTAGAGATCCCGAAAGAGAGAAAATATGCAGTTGGAGGCCTGATTAAACTGAAAGGGAGGGAGCAGCTACAAAGAAAAGAGGCTCAGGATTGCTTTCGCTGTGCAGGAAGGGATGTTAGTCAGGGTGCATGGAGCTCCCAATGAGGAAAGCGAGCATGTTACCAAGGGGGTCATCTCTACCATTTACAAAGCAGAGTAGCAGCTCCGGTGGGCTCCTACAATGACAACAAACCTGCAGGGAGACGCTGACAGCACCAGCGGATTCTCCAAAGATTGTGATGTTTTCTGGGTCACCCCCGAAGGCCCTTATATTCCTCTTCACCCAGGCAATTGCCATGTGCTGGTCCTTCAGCCCGTAGTTCCCTGAGCAACAAGAGGGGATGTGCCATTCAGCAAGGAGACAGTTGAAGTTGGAGGTCAGGGCTCCCTCTGCCACGCAGTGTTACAGCCAGAGCCAGCTCCTGGCCCGGGTGTTTCCCATGCTCTAGAAGTGCCGCAAGACAGTGTCGAAGCCAGAGCTGGAGCTCTGCGCATCCCCCCCGTCTTCTTTGTGCAGGGAGCATGTTTGAGGGTCGTGCTCTGTGTTGTCACAGTGCGCTGACAGGCCAGGGACCAGCAAAAGGGTCCCCTGAAAAGGGGGGAGCTACTGTACCTGGTGCATTCTCGTCACCCGTGCTCAGGAAGCCCAGGGGCCCCAAGCGGTAGTTGAAGGTGACCACAATCACGTTGCCCCGCACAGCGATCTCCTCGCCATCGTAGAGGTAGTTATCAAGGAAGTTGGCTCCCTGGCTACCTCCTAGAAGGAACGCGCCGCCGTAGATCCAGACCATCACCGGCAAGTTGGTGGAGACTGGGAGATGAGAACGAAATGCAGTGTGAGCCATGGCAGAGCAGTAAGGTGCTGCCCATCCCTATGCCAGTTCGCTAAACATCGCTCCGCTTGGGCACGGAGAGCACTCTTGAGGCAGATGATAAAGCCACTGCATTGGAACAGGTTGCCCAGAGAGGTAGTGGAGTCTCCTTCCCTGGAGATATTCAAAACCCGTCTGGATGTGATCCTGGGCAATATGCTCTAGAGGACCCTGCTTGAGCAGGGAGGTTGGACTAGATGATCTCCAGAGGTCCCTTCCAACCTAAACGATTCTGTGATTCTGTGTAGTCATCCCACCCCCCAACCTCAGGCAAAGTATTCACAAGGACAGCAAACCTATATGAGGCTCTCCTACAGGCTGACAAAGCTTGGGATAGCAATGCAAAACAGGTAAAATCACCCCAAACAAACTTCTGTCCCTCCTTGCTAGGATACAGACTTCTGTGTCACTGCTGGGGTTGTAGGACTCCTGTATGCCCATAAGATGTCTTCTCTTCAGGGAGACGTTGTTTTGCAATAGCCTAGGGCCAAGAAACTCTCTGCTCTGCGCTGAGAAGAGACTGAAGCATCCAACAGGTTGTAGCTCAGGGACATTAGCTGACATGGCTTCCCCCCCTCCCAGAAAGTCAGTACTTCTGGAGTTACTCAATATGGGAACATGACTGCTGAGAGATGCTCCAGAGCAGTTTGTCCGCAAAAGGCGACTGAGAATCTCCGCTCCAGATCTCTGCTAAGCACATACCTTCTTTCCTCCCTTGAGGGATCCAGATGTTCAGATAGAGACAGTCCAGGCTCCCACGGACATCAGTTTGTGGGAGCGTCACCTGCATGCAGCGATTTTTGAAATCTTTTGCTTTCAGTGTTCCTGATAGGAGAGAGGGAAGACAACAGGTCACCATTCGGAGGGATCAGCTCCGTCTTTCAGTTGCAAGCTGTCCATCCATCCTCCCCTCCAAGAGTCCAGCACAGAGGGAGCAAGGCCTCTGCAGCCACTGTGACCTGTCAGGGAGAGTGCCAAAGCAGGGCCCTTTCCTGCTAGCTGGAGCTTTGGATTTGTTACTTCATGGGGCTATTTGAGCCTCTTGGGAACAGACAGGGACTTCCATCCCCACCATGATATTAAGAGCTTTCTGTAGCACTGCTTAGTACACAAAAGCAGGCAGCAACATCCCTACCTTGGCAACAACAGATAAGAGACAGAAATGAAAAAAAAACAAAGGTCTTCAAAAGGTAGGTCTTACCTTCCCAGCCAGGATGGGGTTGGGGGTCTTCCAGAATCTTCGTAGGGGCAGCAAAGGGGATCCCTCTGAAGATATCAATGTAGTTCCCAAGGAGTCCCAGTTTTTTATTCTCACCTTCCACAAAACCTCCTTCGGTGTGCACCACACCCAGCTAAATGTCATCCCATTGAGGAGAGAGAAGAGTAAATCTACCATAACCCCTTATGCCTCTGGCTTCCCCCTTGCCAGCACCCAGTAATCTAGCTGGAGGATCCCCTCAGACAGCCTGACTTGCAGCCTCCTTCCCCAGCTGTCCCTTTTGACCCCTATGGAAAACCTACAGGTAGCTGCCACTGGACGTCCTCCAGTGCAAATGTCCTGCAGGCTGTCCTCTGCAGCAGGCAGACAGCAGCAATTTCCCTGCATTTCCAAGCATCAACAGCAGCAGTTGAGGGCCTACAGCCTTCAGATGTAACCCGGGCCAGATATGATACAGACCGAGAAGGGAACTCTTGGAAAATATTGGTGAGAGCCTTTGGCATGTTTAAGGCAGGAGAGTACCCTGCCTTTGCTGTCATGTTCTGCAGGCCCTCTTTCACGGGGTCCAGACTAGATAAGTTTTTTGGTTTTTTTTTTTTTTTTTTAAAATCCAGGCAGGAACAGGCAAAAAAGTTTTGCAAAGCCTTATGAAACTCCTCTCTACTTACCGTTGCAGCCCATGCTACCCCGAGGTAGCAGCACAAGGCAAAGCACAGGATCTCCCAGCGAGCCATGCTGCATGCACACCTGAGGAGCCAGGCCCTGCATGCGGGCTTATATATATAGATAGGAGCGCAGCTACATGTCCGTGCACTTCTGTGACCCCGTCTTGGCTACAAGGTACGCCAGGGGAGTCTCCCACATGCTTGTCCTTCAGCTGGCTGAGGCCAAAGAGATAGGCTGGCATCGCTGTGTGAGAGCCCTGCAGATGTTGCTTTTACAGGCCAGAGATCAAACCTAAGGAAAGATCTCAGTCTAATTAAAAAAAAAAAAAAAAAAAAAAAAAAGCAGGTTTGTTTCCTTGCATGCACCTAGTAAAACCTACTTTAAAAGACTGTTTAAATTTAACTCATTATGCCCCCAGAACTACAATGTTTCAATTATCCAAATGAGTTGCATTACTTAAAAAAGCTCCAGTGAAAGAAAACAAACCAAGAAGAAGGATGATGCTATTGGGAAAAGGAGGTATTTATTAAAAACCAAGTTTTTGTGTTCTTTTGGGGAACTGGACATTCAACTTGTTCGCAATACTACATCCTCTGCCATGTGGGCAGGTGGCTTCTTAGCATCTGCTCTCCCAGGGCTAGGTTAGAAATAATAATTTGCCTCTCGCATAGGTATAATTATGAACAGCTCCTTTTGCAGGCTCTGATAGATTTAAGCCAGCTTGCCTGACACTCCTCAGAGCCTCCTGATGAAGTGTCGGTAGTGAACTAATTCCTGCAATTCTCCTTATGGAGTTAATTTTATTCAGAATTTTACCAGCTGACCCAGATGACAGATCCAAGAATTGTGTGGTCTCCCAAGCTTAAGAAAAGGTTAAATCGGTTGAATGCTGTCTAATTACAGTTGAGGTCAAGGGTGGCTAAGTCTCTTATACCGGAACAAACAAGAACAAATTTGCTCTCAACGTTATAAGAGGCAACGATATCTAAACTGAGCAGACCAGCCACCACGGTTGCCCAAGAAGAGCTCATCCTTCTTCCGAGTCCACATTGAAGCTGCAGTTTGTTAGAGGAGGACAATAAAAACACAATTGCGTAACGGCTATGGGAAACAGAGCAAGCGAAGGGACCACTGACCTCACTTGAACTAGCAAGAGCTGCGACAGTAAATGCCATTTGGAGCCTGGCAAGAAAACAGTATCTCCATGGCATCAATTTTATGAGGGCTTTTTGGCCAGCAGTTACAAAAATGTAGGCAATGGCTCCTAAACATCCAGAATGATGGCCATCAGCAGGCACCACATTCAGTGTCAGATGAGTAGCTGGCATCTCAGTACAAGCTCTGCTTCCCCACGTCCTGTGCACGGTTGCTAATCCCTCAGCACTTGAGAAACAAAACAGAAGAGTCTATCCAACCGCAGCCAAACTGCTCACTGAATTCATACATAGTCCAGAATTTCTGTTTCCATTTCATTTTCACTCCCGTCAGAAGGCTTGAAGTCCTCTTCCTCCTCCTCCTCCTCATCATCCTCATCCTCTCCAGACTCATATGTCAGCTGCTCTTTGCCATCTTCACTGCTTGTTGTACTTGAGAAAAGAGCTTAATTGGGAAGAAAGAGGGGAAGACATCACGATTCCTTTCTCAGTGAAACCTGGGGGAACGTGCAGTAGGGTTCATAAATCAAGTGAGAGGAAGGCAGAAGCCTGAGGGTCACAGCTAATGTTGCACATCTTAATAGAATGTGATCAGAGCAGCTTGCTTTCCCACTCCAGGAACGCTAGAAGAACAACAGCAGATTTGCACTATCGTATATCTTCCCCTAGTTGATTCTAACGTAATTGACTGGGAATACTGATTTTACCCAGCATCATGCCCGAAGGATTTCCTCATTTCTCCTTGAAAAGTATCAAGTTAATCCTTGATGCCATCAACCGGTACATCCATAAGGATAATACCACGGGTATCACTAGGCAAAGATATTTATAATCTGAAGGCTCTGATACAGGGAAGATGAAACAGAAAACTTTCACTCCCAGCCATTCATAATCCCAACCCAGGACGACAGCTTCAGCTCGCTCACTGTGATGAGCTGGAACAAAAAGAACACCAGATCTAGCAGCACCATTTTACCTCCACAAAGGAAGGGGGTGGATATGGGAACACTGCTGCCCCAGGGCCAACTGCAGCGTCTTGATTCAGTCCACAAGCTCTTGACACCACCAGGAAGGGAGGAAGATGCTGTTCAGCGCTTAGAGATTCTTACCAGGTCTTGTGGATCTGATTATCTGCTTTATCATCAGAGACATGGTATCTCGCAGATCATCACTAGTCTTTGGAAGGCACCACCCATCCCGCTCTGTGCATTCTGATTCTGCACCATCATTCCGACGGATGATTTTCTGTAAGCTAAAAAGCAGCAAAAGGGGGGGAAAGCGTTAGCCTTCTACAGTCAGACGCAGGCTTCAAATGGGACAAAGCATGACTTATTTCCTTTACATTTTAATAAGTTGGAATAGTATCACATTTGGTTATTCACACAGCTGTCATAAGGGAAAGAATTTCAGGTGTCCATTGTATTTTTATTCAGAAGCTAAACAACTCTTAAGTTGCTGGTCAAGGAGAGAGAGAGGAGAATGGATTGGATATAAATAACAGGTTCTGAAATTAGTTCTAACAGAAGACTCTGCTGCCAGCGTGCAATACCTTTCCACGTTCAAGTCACAGAGCTGGTAGAACATCTGCCGATAAGGTGGTAAGGCTCCTTCTCGGAAAATGTAGATAGATTCCTAAAAAGAGGAAAGAAGGACAAGATTTAATGTGTGTTTCATGATATAACAGGTCAACGTTGACATAGATTGGAAAGTACTTCCTATGGGCTGATTCAAGAACAAGGCACTTCATATACAACAGTTCCAAGGCAAGGAATGATGGTCTGCACACGGCAAAAGATAAAGCTGAGTGAGGAATGCAGCAGAATCCCACTGCAACCATAGTTACCACAGCACAAACGTGCAGAGAAAGCATCATGTCTTCAAGCTGCAACTTTATCTGTAACTTGGTTACTACATAATAGTGGATCATAGGTTTCATTCTAGCAAAAGGAAAAGAATAAGAAATGGGAGTCCTGTTTACATATTTATTTTGCCCTGCTGGACTCTACTGGACAACCTGATAAACACATGGTGATATTTTGTACTTCACTATCCATAAAGATCTCCAAATTTATCAGTATGAAACACAATGCCTATTATATCTAAGACTAGGGCTGAGAGTACCAATCCCCACTTGCAACACGTAAAATACGCATTAAATGAACAGCAGGTCAAAGTTCTGAAGTGACAGATACAACTAGCAACTTTCCAGTTAAACCTGAGGACACCAAAATCACTCTGAGAAATCTGTACCCTTAAGCGACTGACAAAACTGGAAACATCCTTTTCCTACTAGACTATTTCAAGATTCTGGTAGAAGAGGGTTAATACCTACCTTCAGCTTGTACCTGCTGGAGGCAGGCTTTTTTGAAGTGGATGCCCCAGAAGTACCAAGCCCTTGTTTCAGATCATGTATACTGACTGTATGGCTTACTGAAAGATGAGAGACAGAGAGAGAGAGAGAGAGAGAGAACTTCTTTCACACTGTGGCATTGTAATGTCACCTCTCTATTTTGATTCAACTTTGCTGGTCAGCAAAAAATCAGACCAACCGAGCAAATGAGCATGTGTTCCTGATTCTGCAAAGATGTTACTGGATGGCAAATCAGTCATGGGAAGGTGGTGAGTTAGGCTGCGTTTCTTCCACAGCGCATTTGTTAGTGCATTTAGCCTTTTCTATTTCCCTTTGAGAAGAAAGGGAACGATACTCCCCTCTACTCTCTGCTGCTCTGTTCACCCAAGAGCGTATGCCGAGTTCCCACTGCATTGCTTGAACTACAGTATGCGTTCATTGCAAAACCTTTGGTCTTTCTCCGCTTGCTTCACTGTGTTGTGCGTGTGGTAGCGCCATTCCCATGACCCTGCTTTGGGAGCAGAGCAGGAAATCAAGGGAGAGGACAGCTGCCTGAGCACACGGTCCTTTTCTATAACTACGATAAAGCTTTTCTGATACAGCTTGATTCAGCTGGGTTCCCCAGATTCCCTTCCATTTCCTATAGATACTCAGGCTCAGCCAGCCAGGCATGCAAAACTCTCACAACACTTCCCAATAGGAAACTCTTCTACCGGTTTTAACAGCTGCACTGTATGGCAACCTGAGATAAAGTTCCAATTTTGGCTGAGCTGGAGCACAGGGAGACTTTTCACTACCTGTGACAAGAAAGGGATAAACCGAAGAAACACGAAATAGCCAGATATCGCTTCTGCTGGCTCAGCCTACCTGGCTTTTTGACAGTGATGGGTAGACTGTAGTTATACGTGCTGCGTTTTGCTTTCACTGGCATATCATTAGGGGCATAACCTAGGTGAAAAAAGAAAAAAAGACACTGAACCGAGGGCAAACACCCTGCAGAATAACCCTAGCTCAGTAACAGAAGTACTAGTGTGAGAAAGGAAAGTTGATCTTTGGGATACAATGATTTTAGCGAGGTGAGGAAAGGAGAGATACCAGAAAAACAAAACTAATGACTGGATACTGCTCTCTCATGGACTCATCACATGACCTCAGAAAGTCATTTCTCTTAACTTGCCTTCTGCAAAGTAAGAGCAGGGGAACCCTACGTTCCAAGGTCCGAGACAGTGTCCTGCGCCAGCTGTTGAGATCCTTGAGAAAAAGCTACTGCGTAAGCAACGGAATCTATTGCTCAGTGCCTCCCCAGAGAGAGAGGGAAGACACCTGCTGACATACACTTGGGCTTTGAACACGAGGAGGAGGAAAGTCAGCCAGCTGTTCACGGGGTTTGGAACGTGCCTAACGAGGAAAGAAATACTGCATACTGTGAAATCAATTATTAAATGAGTTTATGAAGGAAATACTGGAAACAACTGAACTCCAGAAAGATGTCCTCTCCATCAGAACAGAAACTGGTGACAAACTGTCTTTAGAGTTTAAAAACACATAAAAAGAACTACAAGGATTAACCAGAAAGCAGAGGGAAGGCCTCTGTGAGTTGGGCCATTTTACCGTATTTCATTCCACAGCGAATTCGGAAGTCCAGCACTTGATAAATTTTTGCTTCAGGGTGTTTTCTGGGGTCATACCCAAACCTAACCCATAAGCTTCTCCAGGGACCTGTTAGCTGAGCAAACAGACAATGGGAAGATGGTTACTAAAGACAGTACAGAGTTGCACAGTTTCTTAGAAAATTCAGGCATGTTCCCTCTTTGCCCAAATATTTTTTTTGCCAGCTCTTTCCTCACTTTCTACACCAGTATTCATATACCAAAACGCAGGCAATCAAAGCATCTAAGCTGCAAATATTTGTGCTTTTACAAATTAATTTGCAAGGTCACAGTAAAAATGTTTCTATTTGAAAAATTCCTGCTACCAGGAGGTCAGAGTGTTTGCTGTAACTGCAAGCCAGACTAGAACCTATGGAGCAAGCAGTTACTGAATCCTCCATGATTTTAACTTATGTTTGGAAGTAAGATTTTCCTTCTCTTGTTATATAACATCAAGCTCAGGTTCTTGGTGGTAGGATCTGAGAAACTGTAAAGAGTCAGGAAAATCCCGCTGATCCTCCCACCTCTTTAACTCCCAGCTGCCTGAGATGGGAACAAAAGCAGACATCTAAAGAGACTTACCATGTAATAGGCCAAATATGGCAACAGAAGTTTCAGCTTGTCTGGATGAACACTGATATTGGCCTTTACTGCGTTCCGAGACCAGATAGGACGGACTTCAAAAAGCTAAAATAATATAGAACCAGCAGCGGAAAGAGCGGGAAGGAAGTGGGTTATTAGCGGCAATTTAAATTTTCCAAATGGACTTTCTTATGTTTTAGCCTTTGGCCCAAAATAACAGCTGTCAGAACGGCAATCTGCATAGTCAAAAGTAGAAGCAAGCCTTACGTAAGGACTGGTGTCACAAAAAGGAACTTAGTGTACCTTTGCTGCAAGGATAGATTCCAATTTTGACTTGCAAAGTGAACTGAACACAGCAGTTTCAGTTTAGTCTACTGAGACTTGTTGTATCAGTCAGACTTCTGATTTGTTCTGTTGCTATCCTCAGAAAGACAGACAGTTTTCATTCAACAGCCAGTCTACTCTCCAAAAAGGCTGGAGAGATGGTCAGGCAGAAGACAAACTGAAAAATTCACCTTCAGAACACAGTTAACTCTGATGAACACACTTTCAGAACCTTGGGTGGCATTTCAGATACATGCCATTCGTTCATTTTAGTGAAGTGACTTTGTCGTGCCTTTAGTATCTCACCCATTATTTACAAGGCGAGCTGCAGCTGTTCAGAGCACCAAATATTCCCGTAGGCCTGGCAGATTATGTTACCACAGCCCTTCTCCTTTGACAGATTAGGGAATGGAAAAAGCAAACGTATATTTTGCTAAGGTCACACAGGACAGTCGATATGGAACTGGAACTGAACCCAAAGGCCTGGATTCAGCTCCCTGGTCTAGTCACATGAGCCCGTATCTTACCCTATAGAAAGGTTAAACAGAAAACTTTACATCAAGACCTCAAAACCTTCAGAGAAGCCAGCAAGCAGTTACAATTGCTAGTGTACAAGAAACTCTCGAAGCCAAGAATTTTCCTGGACGTCAAAGAAAAAAGCTGAACGCAGCTTTTCATACACAGCACGCTACAGTACAGCGTTCAAGCCAGCTCAGGAATTTGTCACGTACCTTACGCAGCTCTTCCTCCACCTTTTTATCCACAGGATTAGTGCACACTTTCTTCCAGGTCTGTACAGCAGCATCCAGTGGTTTAGTTGGGATTTCTTCATCATCAAAGTTCACAAAGATAGCGTTGTGTGGGCGACGGGCTCTGCTCAGGCCAATCAGGTTCTCACCAGACACCTGAGGATTGTTGTATCCATCCCTAAGAAACAGTGCAAAGGACTGGACTGGCTTTCTGTGTATGGCACACACAAAACTGGTCTTCTCTGGAACATGCAGAAAAGAAGTTTGTTTTCCAAATTTCCAAAGAGAAGAGATGCAGCTGTGTGAACAATGGATTTAACTCTGGCCCGACCTCGCTATGGATTTTGGAATCACACACTGGTAATCAGAAGAGACTCCTAAAAGCATTTTAGTGAAAACATTGAGGAAATAACATTTAAATGTAAAAAAACCCTGCAAAACTACATCCAGTTGCGCTATGACAGAACTCTCCTGTACTATCTGTCTGAAAACCCTCAGGTAGCTGACTGAGAATTTGTATGAAACATACTTATAACCTAAAAGGCTTCACTCCTATGGTTCACACTCTATATTTGCTCTACTGAAATTACTGAAGTTCAGGAGCACACAGGGAAATGGAGTTACTAGTTCAATCTTGAAATAAGGTAATATTTATCTGTATTTGTTTAGTTCTAGTGAAGGACTACAGTGAGAAAGTAAAAGATGTTTCTTGTGGGAGATATCACAGACTGTTTTGCCAGAAAAGCAAACAAGGGGTCAAGAAAGAATAGCTCCAGTGAGCACGATCATGGGAACATGTGGCATTGACTCCTGCACACTCTCCACTAAGCTCCAGCCCACTGGAAATGAGCAGAAAGCGGGGCTCACTGCATCTTATACTGTGTTAGTGTCCTGGGGGGAGGCAGTTATCTTCCTCACGTCAGCAGGTCACTTCACCCGCCAAGTCCTCAAGTCAGCTTTTGCTGAGGTTCCGGCTGCCCCTGCTGCTCCTCAAGCACATCTGCCTATCTCGTACCAAATCAAAAAGGATAAAACAGAACAAGGGAGCAGCCTGAACAGGTGAAATGCATAAATGATGTATTTAATGCTGCTCTGATGCTTCAAGAGGCAGATCTCATAATCCAAAGTGCTGAAGTCAGAATGGACTGCAGGCATCTACTGGTGACAAAAAGGAAATCTTAAACTGAAAACTTGGCTATTAGAAACATGTATCAAACCAGCAAAGGGTTTCACTGCCTATTCATTCAAGAACCAACACAGATATTTACTGCATTGTGAGAAAAGGTACTAACCGGTGTTGTATATCTGGCCGATAAAAATAGTCAACAGGAGTGTCCAGACGTGAGAAAATTGGCGGAGGGATGTAGAGAGGTAACTCTCTATTGAAGAATTCTTCTTTCTCTGGTTTGAGCATTAGGACTTTGTCATACATGGAGGTTTGTTTGCCATCAGGTCCGGAGTGCATTGCCAGGTACTGGAAATCAGACATTCCTGTGAAAAACAGAAGTTAAGACAAAGAGGTGCACTGTGAAGGCAATATTTCACACAACACTCAATTCTCAGGAGCAGAAGCCTGACAAGTTTATGAAAAATTTTAAACAGCAGGGAGGCTGTAAGAATAGAAGACTTGGTTTTCCTTCCGGTCTTAAATTCTTAAAAGGAAGCACTTCCCTTTCCCATCAGACATACTTGTCTGTAAGCCACAGGACAAAAATCAAGGTATTACCTTGAAATTTGTAAACAGTGGTGACAGTCCCCACAACTTCCATTTCAAATTTGACTTCGGGCTCAATTTGTTTTTCAGTGTCCAGCTGCTTCTGCTTCTTCTTCTTGGTCCTCCTCCTCACCTTGAGCAGCATGGTGGAGGTGGGGAAGCGGTTGGCGCATACGGGATGGCAGTAGGGATCCTTGGGGCGGAAATACAGCTCCAGCCTTTTTGCAGGGTCTGCGTAGATCTATGCCAGCCGGGACACGGATGTCCCCCGTTAGCACCCCGGCCTCCTACTCACAGGCTAGGCCCCCTCTGCCCCCGCACCCTCACGCAGGAGGCCTCGAGCCTTTCCACCTTGGCCACGGTAACTCCCTGCCCCACCAACACAGGTAGCACAACAGGGGGGAACTCACGACTGCCCCAGTCCCGCTCGGTGCCTCCCCGGCCTGTCTGTCACGGGCGGCAGCAGCCTGGAGAAGCGGCTTCACCCCAAACCCCCGAGGCCTTAGACCCCG